ACACACACACACACACACACACACACACACACACACACACACACACACACAAATTCTATACATGATCAACAAATCACTTGGGAGGAGAAACATCAACTTACAAAAACTAGTAGCCTTTCTATATACCCCAAATAAACATGTTGAGAAAAATATAATGAGAATGCTCCCATTTACAATAACATATGTGTGCCAAATAATATACGATGAAGCCACTAAACACGCACATTGGAGAGTCAGCATATTCATTAACGGTGTTGGGAAAACTGGACATCTATACAAAGAAAATTATTGCTTAGACCAGTATCTATCAGCCTGCACAAAAAAAATCAACTCTAAATGGATCAAAGATCTCAATGTAAAACCTGAAACACTGAAACTGCTGGAAGAAAACACAGGCAATGTTCTGTATGATATACATGTAGGAAAGGACTTCTGGACTAGGACCACTTTCTTTCAGGAACTAACTACAATAACTGAAAAATCAGACCTCATAAAACTAAAAAGCTTCCTCACAGATATGGAAACAACCAATTGAGTGAAAAGGAAGCCCCCAGAGAGTGGGAAAGAATCTTTTTCAGCTATATATCTCATAGAGAGAGGTTTGTGGTTCTCCTACTGCCTGGGGGCTATCTCCCATCATCCCACAAAGTCAGGAGGAGCATGAAATGAGACAAGGATTGGCTTGCAAACACTGTGCAGGGATCACAGCTGGGAACGACCACGGCGAACTAGTTCAACTTTATGTCCAGAGAACAAAGGTTATATTCCCCTTGAGGAGTGGGTGGGAGCTCCGAGGATAAATGTGTCTAATTGGTTGGAACTGGGCACTTCAAGGATGCTTGACTTGCTTTTAACAACATGCTCCTACCGTATGAACAAAAACAAACTACCCAATTATCATATAGGAAAGGGCATGGGAGAACTAGCAGGCATCTGTGACAAAGGCCACATATCCAGTGTGGTTAGAGGCATCTGCGTCTAAAGACACTCTCCAGATGTAGTCAGGCAAGAGGTCCTGGTGAGGGGAGATAGTCCTCTACCTTAATGTGGAGCTCAGAATGACTATATAGACAGGAGGACTGCAACCTCAAACAGCAGGGTCATTCTAACAGGGGTCTAGCAACTAGACTATATAAAGGAATCAAGAAATGAACTGCTAAGAAACAGGTGACCTAAATAAAAAAAAATGGGCTAAGAATCTGAATGGAGTTTCCAAGAGAAGGATAAAAGTAGCTAAGTAAGGTCTAAAAACATGGTCCAAAAACAGTGGCTCTCTTGGGATCATCAATGTTCATTGTTGAATGCTATGAGGAAATCTTGGGCTCAGTGGGAATGAAGTTAGAACTCCTTATTTCTGCTTTTCCTGTTTGACTACATGCTTCTAGCAGCACTGGAGTCCAGTTCACCCCTTCACCCCTCATCTCCAGAGTAACGCGGAAGCAATCACATTCATTCACAGTAGTCACCAGTGCAGATGTGACTTGGAAAAGAAGTGTGGCCTTAGGACCATTTTAGTATTAAATAATTGTTGCCCGTGTGGGTGTGTGACGTGTATTCATGTGTTTGTGTGTGTGTGCATGTGTGTCCTAATAAACTGTGAATCCTTTAAGGCTAAGTATTTACATATGGTAGGGGTGTCTTCCTCATTTTAAATAAATCCCTTAAGAAAGTGAAAATGAAAATTTTGGCCTGATAAGTGAGCTGCCTTTCTGCACTCATTCCTACCTTTCCCAGTTACTTCTTAAGAGTGCCCTGTGTTGTGCTAGTCGTAGGCAGAACCTGTTTAAAGGCATGGTCTGTAATGTAGAAGAAAGAGTCTTGATGGGTCATTTATTTCTACAGGTCAAGAAAGAAGCGCTCTACACTGACACTTCAGTGCAGAGCAGGATTACCTCATCACCATTATCTTTCCCCTTTTGTCATTTAGAAACATTTCCAAAGATTACCTAATTGTCACTAATGTCTCGTGATGTAGCGATTACTAAGGTTGTTATCATTATTTGCACATTATAGAAAAAATAAGAGTCAGAGAGTATGCTATCTGGCATATCACGTGTTTCTATTAGACTGTGCTGCCTTGAACTTTATCCCACGTCTGATGTGGCCTTAGCCCTGTTCAGTCCCTTCTCAGGCCTCTCCCTCTTTGCCTCATTCCTTGTGCAGTGTGCCTATGGATTTGTATGACTTCATGCTTTCCCACAATTCCACTCCTCTTATAGATTGGAGCAAGACATAATTACACGACTGTATGTTCTTCTGTTTTGGTCACTTCCACATCATTTAAGTGATTCTAATTGTCTAGGTGTCATTTATAATAGTGAACTTCCTGAGAGTTTATATAACAGTAACTCCCCTAATAATAAAACGCAAGTATTAACTCTGACAAAAGTACAAATATATTGTGTGCATTGCATAATATATTCTATATCCCTTTCTCTAACAGATTCTCCTTATTCCTAGAAAAAAGCAACATATGTGTCTTTAATACAGTGCTTGGTTGATGCTTACCTCCTGCTTTTCTTCCTAGACAGGCTAGCCTGAATAGAGTAGCAATTAAAAATGGAAACTTTCTTTCAAGGAAAGGATACCTGACAATCAAGTTGGCTAACCAAACTTAATTGTCCCTTTGCACTCTTTTCTTAATTATATCATTGTCAGCCAAAACAGAAACACTACTCTACTTAAAGCATAAGAATATTTTAGTGAAACTGAAGTGGCTAATCTTTTATCAATAGCCCGTGTTTTGAGTAATTTAAACAAAATGAAACAACACATCTCTTTATAATTGGTACATGGGAAGAAAATGAAAAACGACCAAAGAGAAAATGAAGTGGGCAAGAAAACAGAATGTTTTTCTAGACATTTTGAAAACCTATTTCTAATGTTTTAATTGGTTTCCAAGTGTGATTACTCAGACAAGATTGTCAGCACCATGCTTGATTCTTTGACTCTATTTCTATAGGGGAAGAAGCAACATTAGTTCTGTGAGCATCAAGCAGGTATAGAAGCATGAGGTAGACATTTATAAATCAGTACTAAGAATACAGATAATTCCTATGAGACTATAGTTAGTCCTAAAGAAGCTTAACAACAAGGAGGACCCTTGGGAAGATGCTTAATCTGCAATCAGAAGGGCAAACAGGATAGACATCTGAAGTAGGAGAAAACAAGGAACAGAACAGGACCCTTCCACAGAGGACCTCTGAAAGACTCTACTACCTGGGTATC